AGTAGACGGTTGTACTGGTTTCAAATGTTTAGTTAGCCAATAATTGGGAATTAGAACGTAGATCAAATGATATGTTGACCGAACAACATTTCAACTAATCACTTTCAGTTTTTACATTAACTATATTATAATCTTTTATTACGAAAACTCTCAAAGCCTGTTAAAAAAGAACGTTCTATCCAAGGTCCATATCGTGTGTCTATGCCCATTTTTAATGTATATTAGCTTACATTCAAATGCATAGGGTCAACTAGATACTGCAGGAAGAGTTCTACGTTCTATTCCTTTCTGTCCTTACATTCAAATGCATAGCGTAAGATCTATCTATGTAATTTTTCCTTTGATGGCCTTGAATCTGAATCAGATGATTAGATTTATCACATTTACTATGGGCGGACGAGCATATCTGAACTTTATGGGAAACGAGTTTGGGCACCCGAAGGTCAGGTTCTATCTCTTCAATATGCATGAAGATGTATAATATTTGTAATGTTTGTCTCCTGTTAAAATATATGTGTAATATTTGTCTATGTATCAGAGAGTTGAGTTCCCGATGCCAAGCAACAACCTCTCGTTTTCACTTGCCAACCGACAGTGGGATCTTTTAGAAGAGAAAATGCATCGTGATTTGTTCGTCTTTGACAAGGTGTTCAGCTATTTTTCAATATCATCAATTTTGAAAACTTTGTTATGCAACTTAAAGTGAAGTAAATGTTCTTGAGATTAAGTCCCACAACTATTTTTCAACTCCGGAAAGTGGCTCTAATTCAAGAAAATGAAACTAAAATCATAATTGTAAAAAGGATTATTGAACGTTGCTTAAAAGGAGACATCCTCGCACCTTCCAAACCGCATTACATGATGTTTAACTTAATTGAATAAAAAATGAGTTTCTATTGATCTAATTCAATTGTGCTTATTTACTTTCTTCTTTCTAGGACCTGATGGGATTGGGTGAAAATGAAAAACTACGGACAAGAAGTTTACCAAATGTTCACCATGTCAATGAAGCTACCAAAGTAAGATTTATCCTTTTCCTTTCTTTTTTTAGTTCATTTTATCTTACGGAAGTTTACACGTTTGGTTCTTGCTTATCTTGTTTTAAAATTTATGTTTTCAGAAGCACTAACGAACGCACCTTTAAGAATGCAGACGAATGTAATTATTGGGTGGAACATCTTGATATGGTGTTCAGTGTGAATCAATACATTATTTTTAACCTTTTCAGGTAATATCTTATATTCGAGGTCCCTTCCTCTTCATATGCAACTTCCATCCCACAGATTCTTACGAAAGCTACAGTGTTGGTGTGGAAGAAGCTGGAGAATATCGAGTAAGGACTACTTTGCTACCAAGTTATATTTTTCTGAAACTTCTTAGTATTACTTGGATCTTGTTCGATAACGATTATCTTTCGTCTTAAAATTGTTTTTTCACTTTTATAAAAACATTTTTAGAATGTAGACAATTTAAACTAATAACTCGAACCATTTTAAAAGTAAGTTATAGTTTTAAAATAGATTAGAAAATAAAGAACCTAAGAATAGCTCAATTGTTAAATCATATTCCCTCGATCTGATAAGAGGTTCTGTGAGATCCCACATCAGTTGAGGAGGAGAACGATGCATTCTTTATGAGGGTGTGGAAACCTCTCCCTAGTAGATGCGTTTTAAAAACCTTGAAAAGAATCCCGAAAGGGAAAGTCCAAAAAGGACAATATCTGCTAGCAGTGGGTTTGGGCTGTTACAGTTGGTATTAGAGCCTGACACCGATCGGTGTGCTAGCGAGAACGTTGAGTCCCAAGGGGGGTGGACATTGGGTGGTGTGCCAGCAAGGACACTCAGCCCCGAAGGAGGGTGGATTGTGAGATCTCACATTGGTTGGGGAGAAGAACGAAACATTCTTTATAAGGATGTGAAAACTTCTCCCTAGCAGACACGTTTTAAAAACCTAGAGGGAAAGTTCGAGAGGGAAAGTCTAAAGAGGACAATATCTGCTAGCGGTTGGCTTGGGTTGTTACAAGTTCGAATCTCTCGCCCTACATGTTGTGTGGCTGGACTTTAATAAACATGTATAGGAAACTCGAAATAAAGTTATTATCAAAGGGGTGTGATTATTATCTATAGCACACATGAATACACATTGTGACTCCATGAACTTTATACAAATAGGAAAATTTTAGCCTTTAAACAAAAATTTTCCGGTCCTCATATTAACCATAATTTGGTTTTTGTGCTCATTTTCAAACACCCAAAAGATGGACTAAAGTCTGATATTTTAATGTGCACAGATTATATTAAATACCGATGAGACTAAATATGGAGGTCAAGGGATTATAAAGCATGATCACTATCTTCAACGAACAATAAGCCGAAGGTAACGGTTTTCGACTTTCTTGATGACTTCCTCCATTCTCCTGTAATTCATTTTGAGATTACTTTTCACCATATATCATCATGTGATCTTCATGTTTCCAGAATTGACGGCCTCCGAAACTGCCTAGAAGTGCCGTTGCCTTGCAGAACTGCACAGGTTCGTTAAATTTGTGGATGTTGTGTTCATGCATTAATCTGGGTTATAATGATAGTGTTCTTGTTTTTCGGATATGGTTTTTTGTTTCTCGTTTCCTCTTTGTCGAAAAAAAATAGAAACATGTTTGGAAACCATTTCTTGTTTCTTGTTTTTTGGAATTCTAAACAAAAAAGAATGATTGATTCATCATGTTATAATAGGCAAATGAAAAAAAATGAAGTAGATAACTTAAAATATTAGAATAACGCGATCTATCAACGAGCGTTTTTTACATATGGCACTCTACTTGTTCTCTACTTTTTTTCTGTCATTTATTTGTTAACATATGAACAACATGGAGCACGTATAATCATGGTTGAAAGTTCAAGAACGTAATTGAAACTTGTTAAAGTTCAGTGACTAATATACACGACCACTAGACTTCATCTATGCTTGAAAATGATGCAAAAGAATTGATATTACACTTGCTTAAGATATTGTTGTGCACATGACTCGTTAATAACTAAATTCATTTTCCATGTATACTCACCCGATCTCTCTCGCTCGCTCGTTCGTGCAGGTCTACAAACTAAGTCGAATATTGAGAATATAAGCCGTTTTGAACCCATTGGAAGAAACTAGACAGAAGTTTGCCAAAGTTGCTAATATGTGTCTGCTAGAAAGGCATGCCCAAAAGAGCCTGATTTTTCAGTGGTGAGGTAATTTGTTGAATCAAAGCCTATTAGAACAGCTGATGTTCAATGTATTTATGAGATGAAATCACTTGATATTTACAGGTTTCATTTCCTATTTTCACCACTCATAGAATTTTGACTGTGGCTCTTTTGTAAACAGCCACGGTAAATTTGTATATCAGGTTGATGATGAGTAAGTGTTCACTTTATACTCTATACGTCCGTTTATTTCATACCTAAATTTTAAATTTGTTGTTGGGGGGAGCGAAACATTTCTTATAATGGTATAGAAACTTTTTCCTATTAGACGTGTTTTAAAATTGTGAGGCTAATGACGATACATAACGGGTCAAATCAGGTAATATATGATAGCGGTGAATTTGGACTGTTACAAATTGTATCAAAGCTAGACATCGGTCGGTATGTCAGTGAGGACGCTGGGCTCACAAGGGGGTGGATTGTGATATCCCTCATCAATTGGAGAGTTGAACGAAATATTCCTTGAAGGGTGTGGAAACCTCTTTCTAGTAGACATCTTAAGATTGTTAGGTTGACGAATATTCGTAATGAGCTAAAATAGACAATATTTGTTAGCGATGAACTTAAGCTCTCACAACCGAATAAATGTTCGTTTGATAATAGGCGATTGTAATTATGTGTCTCAATTACCGTTTTGTTTATATGTTTGAAATTTAAAAATGTTATCAATGGAGTTTTAATTATTTAAAGATTAATTTAATTGAAGATTGTTATTAATATTATTGCAAGTTGGATTTTTTGTTACTAAATTTTAGTTTTTTTTTTATTTGCTTCATTTTCTGATTAAATTACGAGACAATTATATTATAAATGAAGTTTTGTATTAACAATTTTAAATGATTCATTTATAATATTGATAATAATAACCATTATTCTATATTATCAGATTTTTTTATTGATAAAATAGGATAATTAAATGGACAATGTATATATTAATTCAAAATGGAAATTTAAATATCAAACCTAAATCCATTAAAAAATATTATTAAATTATTTATAATGAGGTGACAAACTTTATGTCAACTTTACTATAATTTAATAAATTATTTTTTGAAAATAATTGAAAATTAGGATAATATATTAAAGGTATTTTTTATTTTTATTTTTAAATTTAGAGTTTTAATGAAACTTTTCCCAAATTAGAAAAACTTTTTAAAAAAAATTAAAGATATTTTTAAAACAAATTATTACGAGTTCCATAAATATAGAGTAGTCAACACGAGTCACCCTAGTCAACACAAGTCACCACTTTAGCTACTTATTTCCGATTATTCCATTTTTAATGTTAGCAATGTATAACGGTCAAATAGGATCATTTTTTATTCGAGACCTTTCACTATTTATTATCAGGTGGGAGTTAGAATTAGTTCTCGTTTATCTACTTCTATTGACATGGGGAGGAAAGAAACGGTTGACCTTACTATTTTTTTATCACGTCGGAGTTAGAATTAATTGTCGTTTATCTATTTCTATCAATTGTCGTTTATCTATTTCTATAAACGGTTGTATTCAATTATAAAGTTTATTTTGTACACGTTCCAGAGGTTCAATTTTTTCGTTATTGGGAGTTATGGGTATCGGTTTATATGGTTCGTTAATCAATCGTATCCTATAACATTGTAAATAATATTCTATATCGAATTTCTTATTGCTTTTGCATCAAATCACCCATGAGTTCAGTTTCTTGAGATGGGAAGTTTAAATCCGGGATAGGAAATAATATTAAAGATTTATATACATATATATACATATATGAGTACACGCTCCATCTAGGCCTAGAAACTGACGCCCTCTCAGCTGATAAAGAGAGGAACTTCCTTTCTTCCCTTCGCCGGCGTGAAATCGGAGGAGTCTTGTTGAGACTTGAAGGTTTTTGATTGTCGAAAATGTCGAATCTTCCCCAATCGCACTCCATGAATGCTGCGTTTGGAGGTCCTGGTATCGGTTCGTCGATCCCCAGTGCCTCCGGAGCTGCACCGAACAAGGAGCGAAAAATGGCTTCTTCGGAGCAACTAGTGCTCGACCTCAGCAACCCGGAACTCCGGGAGAACGCTCTCCTTGAACTGTCGAAGGTAAGATTCCTTGACCTTTAAGCAACCAGAGAGGAGGAGGAGGAGAGTGTTGAGGATTGGTGTTTTTTCTTGTTTTGGTGTGATGGTTGTGATAATTAGGGATTGCGGCTGAAAGGATTTGTGTTGGTGTTAGAGAATTTGTAGGTTTTGTTTGGCATGTCAGGAATTTTTAACTTGCTGTGGCTGAGAGGAATTTTCGCGATCGGATGTGTTTATTTGAAATAAAATTATGTTCTTATTGCTGTATAGTTCATCGCAGCTAGGTTGAATGTTGTTTTGATCCTTGCATGTTTAGTGCTACTTTTGTTAATTGTTTTGTATAGAATAGACTGAAATTTTCGCGAACGTCAGGAATTGTTTTGTTAATTGACTATTTTTAGCTCAAGCTAATTACGTAGCGTTCCCCTTCTTCCACTTTTCTCTCAACTTCTTGCTGCAATTTTTTTTTCTATCGCGCTTCGGTCGAAGGGGAACGATCCATCCGTTCCTGCGCCGGTCGAGGGGGAACGATCCCGCGCCGGTCGAGGGGGAACGATCCCGCGCCGGTCGAGGGGGAACGATCCCGCGCCGGTCGAGGGGGAACGATCCCGCGCCGGTCGAGGGGGAACGATCCCACTCCGGTAGAAGGGAACTTATGACATGCAACTGACATGCAACTGAAACGATCCATCCCGCTTCGGTCGAAGGGAGAACAATCCCCCGCCGGTAGTGGGGGAACAATCCCACGACGGTAGAAGGGAACTTATGACATGCAACTGAAACAATCCATTCCCCTACGGGGGAATGATCCCGCGCCGGTAGGGGGAACGATCCCGCGCCAGTAGAAAGGAACATGCAACTGAAACAAGTTCTTGTAAAGGGGAAAAGGTTCGGTAGAAGGGAACTTATGACATGCAACTGAAACAATTCTTGCAAATGGGAAAAGGGCGTAATGTGGGGCTGTTCTTAGGCCCTTCTTATTTTATCCAAAGGGTTTGAATTAGCCCCTGATCGTATTTCTCCCGAGATTAAAGAAAAGATGGGCAATCTGTCTTTCCCCGGACCCTACGACTAAGAAAGATTTCACTTCTTAAAATATCCCATATACATAGGTGGGAACAAGGGAAGGGGTCAGATTTATCCCGATGGGACAAAGCATTGGTAGGGTGGAACTTCTCCCTAGCAGTGCTTGGGATAAGCCCGAAAGAAAACCCCAAAGAGGACAATATCTGTCGATTCTTTGTTAGTGTTCATCATATGGGAATTCTTTTGGTATTATATGTGCAGTTAACCAAGTATATCTGATACCCTAATTTGTTTCTGTTCTTATTTTTCAGAAGAGGGAACTGTTTCAAGACTTGGCTCCATTGTTGTGGAACTCCTTTGGAACCATTGCTGCCTTGTTGCAAGTATGCTGCTTTAATTCTCAAACATACTATGAATTGTCTATAATTCACTCCTAATCTTGTTTTATTTTGTGTTTGTTTGTTTGCTTGTTTTGGGGTGGAACAGGAAATTGTATCAATATATCCTGTTCTGTCTCCCCCTAATCTGACCCCAGCGCAGTCGAATAGAGTTTGCAATGCTCTTGCTCTTCTTCAGGTCACTCCTTGTCGAACTTGTTACATCATGGAATCAAATTATATATGGTTTTGTGCTCACTAGTTACACAATATCTTGTTGATCTGAAACTATAACTTATGCAGTCTATATCTCTTTTTGTATGTTTTTTTTGCAGTGTGTAGCTTCACACCCAGATACGAGGATGTTGTTTCTCAACGGTAATGTTGTTGATCTTGTTAATGTTTGAACACTTTTGCTTGAGACTTTGTTCAAGACACAATCTAACATACTAAATGAAGTGGGCTTGTCGGAAATTTACACTAATTAGTTTGTGTGGAGGAAGCAATGAAACTAGCCATGTGGATCCCAAACACTTTGAAAGACTCTCCATCTCATTTTTTATGAAATAATACTAGAACATAAAATAGAAAGCCATAAAAAGGAGGTAATGTGTAATAGCCTAACCTCACCGTTAGCCGATATTGTCTAGTTTGGCTCGTTATGTATCGTCGTCAGCCTCATGGTTTTAAAAAACGTCTGTTAGGGAGAGGTTTTCATATCAGGTCAACCTAAAACCCGTCTGTTAGGGAGAGGTTTTCATACCAGGTCAACCTAAAATGCGTATGTTAGGAAGAGGTTTCCATATCGGGTCAACCTAAAACACGTCTGTTAAGGAGAGGTTTCCATACCGGGTTAGCTTAAAACGCGTCTGTTAGGGAGAGGTTTCCATACCGGGTTAGCTTAAAACGCGTCTGTTAGGGAGAGGTTTTCGTACCGGGCCAGCCTAAAACACGTCTATTAAGGAGAGGTTTCCACACCCTTGTAAGGGTCAACCTAAAACCCTCACGGTTTTAAAACGCTATAAGGGTCAACCTAAAACCCTCATGGGTTTAAAATGCTACAAGGGTCAACCTAAAACCCTCACAGTTTTAAAATTCGAGGCGTTATATAACCTAACAAAAACATATTTTCCTAAAATTCGGGGCGTTACATAACCTAACAAAAAGGACCTCCACTCTAAAGAAAAAATTAAACCTAACAGGTAATTACAATTATAACTTCTGCATAATCCACCATGGGGCTTCTCAGTTGAATATCTAGCAAAATTTTTGAATGCATATATTAGTTGGGTGCTTAGCAGTTAGCGGTCATAGGATTTTCACGATTTCCTTAAGATGATTGCATAGTTGCCTGTTTGTTTCAAGAATTGATTCATACTGAATTTATCCTCTGCAGCTCACATACCCTTGTATTTGTATCCTTTCCTCAACACGACTAGCAAGTCGAGGCCCTTTGAGTACTTGCGCCTTACTAGCTTGGGTGTCATCGGTGCGCTAGTGAAGGTATGTCACTTTAAAGCATGAGCTTATACTCTCGAGCTTATACTCTCTCCCTGTAATTTTCTTGTAACAGTCCAAGCCCACCGCTAGTCAATATTGTTCTCTTTGGGTTTTCCCTTCTGTGCTTCCCCTCAAGGTTTTTAAAACGCCTTCCTTCTCTTCTCCAACCGATATGGGATCTCACAATCCACCCATTATCGGGGCTCAGCATCCTCGCTGGCATTCATTCCTCTCTCCAATCGATTTGGGATCTCACAGTCCACCCCCCTTTGAGGCCAGCGTCCTCATTGGCACACCGTCTAGTGTTTGACTCTGATACCATTTTTAACTGCCCAAACCCACTGCTAGTAGATATTGTCCTATTTGGCTTTCCCTTCCGGGATTCCCCTCAAAGTTTTTAAAACACCTTTCCTAGGAAGAGGTTTTCACACTCTTATAAAGAATGTTTTGTTCTCCTCCCCAATCGATGTGGGATCTCACAATCCACCCACTATCAGGGTTCAGTGTCCTCGCTGACACTCATTCCTCTTTCTAATCGATATGGGATCTCACAGTCCACCTCCCATCAGGGCCAGTGTCCTCACTGGCACACTGCCCGGTATCTGGTTCTGATACCATTTTTAACAGCCCAAACCCAAATCCACTGTTAGCAGATATGGTCCTCTTTGGGCTTTTCCTCGAAAGGATTTTAAAACGCGTCCCCTAGGGGCGTGGGATCTCACCTTTCTTCTTTTTTTTCTTTTTTTTCCTTTTTATTGGGCACTCTCTATATTGAAAATCTAATAATTTTTGTTTTCCTCCTGTTTTTACCAGGTAGATGATACAGAAGTAATAAGTTTTCTGCTGTCAACTGAAATAATTCCTCTATGCCTGCGTACAATGGAAATGGGAAGCGAGTTGTCAAAAACAGCTGAGTTTCCTGATGCTACTTTTATTTCTATATTTCTCTTTTTAATTTTTCTAGCAATTTTATCTCATTTTATACCTTATTTTATTGGGAATTATCTATTATAAAATCTCAATTGCACATGTCACCAAAAATTAAGGTATGAGGACCCACTCTCAATTTGTGGGCCCTTTCTAAAACTCTGAATTATTAGAAATGAGTTATTCCTTTTGATAGGGTAGGAAACACCCCTCCTGATGTGAGATCCCACGTCGGTTGGAGAGGAGAACAAAACATTCTTTGTAAGGGTGTGAAAACCTCTCTCTAGCAACCTTGAAGGGAAGCCCAAAAGGGAAAACCCAACGAGGAAAATATCTGCTCGGTGGGCTTTGGCCATAACAAATGGTATTAGAGCCAGATACCGAGATGTGCCAACGAGGAGGCTAAACCTTGAAGGGGTTGGACATGAGGTGGTGTGCCAGCAAGGACGCTGGGCCCCGAAGGGGTGTGAATTGGGAGGTCCCACATCGATTGGAGAAGGGAACAAGGGCCGGCTAGGACGTTTGGCTCTGAAGGTGGTGGATTGTGAGATCCCACGTCGATTAGGGAGGAGAAGAGAACAAAACATTCTTTATAAGGACGTGGAAACCTCTCCCAAGAAGGGAAAGCCCAAAGAGGACAATATGTGCTAGCGGTGAGCTTGGGCGGTTGAGTTTTTTTTTTTTTGTGTGAATTGTTTGGCTTAATGTCTTGTAAAAGAGGTTTCCAGCCTCTCAAAATAGGTGGTGGTTTGTGTCTCTTTATTGTGCTGATTGCTTTGTGTCAACAGTGATTTCTAGTTCTGTTTATGTTTGGCACTGTTATTGGCTCTTGCAGGTGAAATATTAGAGGAGACCTTACACTAAATTGACCCACGACTTTGTACTGCAGGTTGCAACATTTATCGTGCAGAAAATTTTACTGGATGATGTCGGGTTGGATTATATTTGTACTACAGCCGAAAGATTTTTCGCTGTTGGTCGAGTTCTGGGAAACATGGTTGCAGCTCTTGCTGAGCAACCTTCGTCTCGTCTCTTGAAGCACATAATTCGATGTTATCTTCGATTGTCCGATAACCCGAAGTGCGTAAAAGTGGATTTGCATTTCAGTTAAGGTATTATTAGCCTTTTCAGTTTCTTTAACGACTTGTTCCGTTGTTCAGAGCTTGCGACGCCTTAAGGAGCTGTCTTCCAGACATGCTGAGAGATTCTACTTTCAATGGCTGTCTTCGGGTAAGTGTCTTTTCGACATGAATTTCATTTGTCGCGCTTCTGTGGAGTTTTCTGTTCTGAGTATGTTTCTAATTCATGTTCAGTGTTTTAGGCTAAGCTGACTATGTTGGCGTTGTACAATGGTTCTGCTAAGAGGAAAATACTGTAAAATTTCCGTGTTTGTTCATAATAGGGGAAAAAAAGAAAAACATTTTGAAAGTTCTAAAACGAAAAGTGTGAGATCTTGCCTCGGTTGAGGAAGAGAACGAAACATTCTTTATAAGGGTGTGGAAACCTCTTCCTAGCAAACACGTTTTCAAATTTTGAGGGAAGCCTAAAAGGGAAAGCCCAAAAAGGACAATATATGCGTGGTGGGCTTGGGTCATTACAAATAGTATTAGAGCTAGACACTAGATGGTATGCTAACGAGGAGGCTGAGTCCCGAAGAGGGTTGTGGCGGTGTGCCAGCAAGAACGTTGGGCTCTGAAGGGGAGTGGATTGGGGGGTCTCACATCGATTGGAGAAGGGAACAAGTCCTGAAGGGGGGGATTGTGAGATCCCACATCGGTTGAGGAAGAGAACGAAACTTCCTTTATAAGGGTATGGAAACCTCTCCCTAGTCAACATGTTTTAAAAACCTTGAGGGGAAGCCTGAAAGGGAAAGCCCAAAAAGGACAATATTTACTAGCAGTGGGCTTGGGTCGTTACAAATGGTATTAGAGCCAGACACTAGGCAATGTGCCAATGAGGAGGCTGAGTCCTGAAGGGGGTTGGACATGGGGCGGTGTGCCAACAAGGATGCTGAGCCTCGAAGGGGGATGGATTGGTGGTCCCACATCGATTGGAGAAGGGAATGAGCGCCAGCACCTCGCTGGGCTCCAAGGGGGGTGAATTGTGAGATATTACATTGGTTGAGGAGGAGAACGAAACATTCTTTATAAGGGTGTGGAAACCTCTCCCCAACAAACGTGTTTTAAAAACCTTGAGAGGAAGCCCAAAAGGGAAAATCCAAAGTGGACAATATTTGCTAGCGGTGGGCTTATGCCGTTACAAATGATATCAGAGCCAGACACTGGGCGGTGTGCCAGCAAGGACGCTGGGCCCCGATGGGGGGTGGATTTGGAGGTCCTACATCGATTGGAGAAGGGAATGAGTGCCAGTGAAGACGTTAGGTCGCGGATAGGGTGGATTGTGAGATCCCACATCGGTTGAGAAAGAGAACGAAATATCCTTTATAAGGGTGTGGAAACCTCTCCCTAGAAAACACGTTTTAAAAATTTTGAGGGGAAGCCCGAAGAGGATAATATCTGCTAGCAGTGGGTTTGGACCATTACAAAAAGTGTTCTTGAAAATGAGCTTAAAAGCACTCCACTAAGTATCACGATTCTCAAAATCATCATGAACTCGGGTTCACTCTCACTCGGAGCTTCTAATTCATAACAAAAGTATTGGACTTACTGGTATAACTTATTATCAAAACTCATTGATTTTGCATTGTGGATCACTTCCAAAATTTTAACGTTGACAGGATGATCCAACCACTAGGCGGTGGCTTCAACAGTTGCTGCTCAGTGTAGGAATGAGTAGGGTTCCTACACTTCAGGCCGGGGCTGGATTTGATCACATGATGTGAACTAAACCCGTAATGTATGTTCCAAAATTCTCTGTATTAGCATCACCTCAGCATTGCCTAAACTTATTTACGGGTTTGTAATTCTAAAAAACAATCTGCTCGAGTAAACCTTCTCGAGTAAAAGAATTATACACATGTTTATAGCTTTGTCATTAGAACTGCTCTCTGTTTTCTTCGAGTAATCTATTGTGCATCTATGAACCATGTATGTAATTGTAGATCATACAACCACACATTCGATCTAGATGAACACAAAGAATATGAGAGAAAATGTCGGAAGAAATATGGGTGTTTAAGAACATGAGAGAAATGGCAGGAAGGAATATTGGGTAGAATACACTCAGAATGAGAATCTAGAAAATTGGAAATGGATCTTGTCAACAAAGAATTTCATTTTCGAACGAACATCCATATCTTCACTTTTGATGTGTTTTGTCTTTGAATGATAATCCAACGGTATGACACTCTGACTATCTATATAAAGAATTTTCTCGTGTTGTTTCTTGCCTAATTCTTTTAGATATTCTGTTATCCATATCATCTCTTTATCAGATTTAGCTCTTGCCACGTACTTAATCTTAGTAGATGAAAGATCAATGCATTTCTGAAGCTTGAACATCTAACTCACTGTTGTTCTATCAATAATCTAGATATATTCATATGTACTCTTGCTAGAGTCTATATCTCCACTAAGATTAGCGCAAAACCTTGCATAACTCGTAGATTCTCAGATATTTTAGAAGCCACTTCAAAGCTTTCCAATGTTCTTTTCTTGAGTTTACCATGTACTTGCTAACAACTCCATGCATGTAATGTGCTCCTCAGCTGTCTGATTTAGTATCATTCATCTGGAATTCGGATAACACCTCATTGTATGCTCCTGAGATTAGATTTAATGTGCTAGCAGATCTATTTTGAGATAACATATCTATTTTGAGAAATATGCTTCGTTGCTACCAAATCTTTCCTCTAAAATACTAAAGACATGCTTGCCTGTGACTAATGTTCCTCGTACGGGATCCTACCATTAGTATGTTATCCACATACTAGGGTAGAAACACATCAGAATTAGTGTATTTCTTAAAATAACAACATTAATCATTTTCACTTTTGTGGAAACCACTGTTGCATATGAATGAGTCAAACTTCTCGTACCATTGTCTCGATCTTTGTTCTAGTCCATACAAGTTTTTATTGAGTTTTTTTATTGAGCTTACACATGGACCAGTTGCTGAGCAGCAATCTTGGGTGCTTTTCAAGTATCTACTATAATATCACTAAGTGATTTTTTTCACAATTCAACCTCAATTCTCACTTGCTTCGTTGTCATGAAACATTTGCTTTGTTGTCCTTGTACATGACATTTTCATTAAAAATCACGTCACAATATCTCAAGAATTTTTTTTGTTCTTGTCATCCCAAAATTTGTACCGGAACATATCAGAACCCTAACCATATTAAATTTTGAACCACATTCACATGGGTTTCTAGTAATCAAAGTTGGAGAACTAATTTTAAAATTAACTTAAAAATATATAAACTCAAATTTAAAATTTCAAAAATTTCAATTATTTTAAAAATAATTAAAAATATAGGAAATCAATTTTCATTAATCTTTCAATAATATTACAATTATATTAAATAGAGATTTTTTGGTATTAAATTTTCGATGTCCATAAGCTCAACATCAATATAAACGATTAATCGGCATCTTAATTATATCATAAAAAAATCTAAGAATAATAAGAAAAAAAAACAATAAAATATAATATATAAAAAATGTATTTTAATATGAAATAATTATTTGTTAATTTAAATGTTTTTTTTTTTTTTTTTTTACAAATTTTTTTCGGACCCGGTGAGTACTAAAATGGGTCATGGTTGGAGAAAGCCCAGAATCGAGCAGCTCCAATGGGATAGCCGTATAAAACCCTAAACCCTGCAACGCTGCTTTTTCTTCCCTCGAACCTGGTAAACCCTAAACCACCCCCCCGTTGACGTCTGTGTTCAAGATTTTGAGGTAAATTTCAAGTTTTCTGTTCAGCTTTTTGTGCTTATGCAATGGTATTTTCTGTTTGATGCGCTATGAAACTCGTCGAACAAGAATTTTATTTTCAATCTCGCGCACCCTCGCCCATTCTCCACTTTCACTTGATTCTCGGTCTGTTAGTCCAGGAAATGAGGTCGTATGTAACTTGGTTTGTTTACGATCTTGTGCTTTTGGATGCTTGCGTCTGTTTTTGGAGAAGTTTTCATTTCTCCTTCTGAATTCGGTAGATGGAAGCTGGCGTAGTATATGAGGATCGATTACTTTTGGAGTTCTTTGTTTTTGTGATTTTGTTGAGTAATTGATATCTTTTTCAGCTTAGTTTGATTCTTTTTAGTAGTATGGAGACCTCTGCTATTAGGATCCTTCGCAGCGTATCTCCTCCGCAATTGCATCATTAGCTCGTTCCACATTTGCTGCTGCTTTCTGCGTTTTCATCCAAAATTTTGCAAGTTTTTTCATTGGCTACCCGTCAAAATTGTGCACATTTCTACACCAAACTATTATTAAAATCTTGTCGGTAAGGATATTCAATAGGTGGAATCATTTTTCACCAGACGAGGAAAATTTGGCCAAATTTAAACTAAAACGTTGGGGAACCAAAAATCAAATCCAAACGTCATCTCCTTTCCTTTTCAGAGAACACTTTTGGCCAAATTTTAATATATGAAGTGGATTGTTTATGAATTTTTTCATAACTTTTTTTTTTAATGTACGTGCAATTGTGGAGGCCATTAGATTTTTGTTTATTTGAGCTTGATCCTAGCTCTGTCTCAACGTCAACTTTGCTCTGAATTTTGGTGCCCCTTTAATTTCCATAGATGAACTAATCATGTTTAGAATTTGGAAAAGTATCGATGGAAAACTGTTGTCTTGTTATTTAATCTAAAACATCTCACTACAGTTGATAGGCAACAATTTACTGTTTCTGTTCGTTTAAAACATACACTTTACCTACGTACTTTGGAAAACTTCAATGATTATTCTTGAATTGATTTTCCACCTTAACTTCCTTATCCTTATTGAGGTCTGAGAAAATGTTCTTAATAAAAGGTCGGAGGAAATATTTATTGTTGTAAGATGGTATGATATGCATCTCCTGACTGTACTCAGTTCTCTCCCTTCCATTAGTTATATGCCTGCCTTCTCATTCACCTACTGTCGTTTTCTGTGGCTTATATTATGGCTAACATAAATGCAATTTATGCTTCTTGTTCTTTTGTATTATGGACTCGTATATCAAAAACTCATATTCCGTATAAGTTTTACTGTTAAATCTATAATAACTTTTCTTTTTTAAAATTCTCAGAATCTTGGAATATGAATTTTAACAATGTCAAGGTTCCTAAGGTGCCCGGTGGTGGTGCAGCTTCTGCTTTGGTGAAGATTGGAATTATTGGTGGGCTTGGATTATATGCAGCTTCCAACAGTCTCTACAATGTTGAGGGAGGACATCGGGCCATTGTGTTTAACCGTCTAGTTGGAGTTAAAGATAAGGTTATTTAATCTGGTCCTTTAGATGAAACACTTCTACAATTCATTATCCATTGTTCTAGAAAAATTATCTGGTTCTTGGATGACTTCACCACATAAGTGCCTAAACTTCCTGGTTGCTTTAAGCAATATTGTTTGAACAATTTTTTGCTTGTCATAACTTTCAGGTTTATCCTGAAGGAACACATCTCATTATTCCTTGGTTTGAGAGGCCAATCATATACGATGTCCGGGCACGACCCAATCTTGTGGAGAGTAGTTCTGGAAGCCGAGACCTTCAGATGGTGTGATATTTTTTATTTTATTTGAAGATACCATATTTTTTTTTCTTTATTCTCTTATTTTTATTTTTGTTGAATGTGATCTCAGACCTGCTTTAGACTAATGCTCAACATTAAGTGATTAGCACAAAAGTTGGCATGTGTTTAGACTTTACATGTGAAAGACAGGCAGTTGTTAAGTGTTTTTCCATGTATTTTGTTTTATCCCATTTGGATATTTAAATTTAATGACTGGCTATCAGCTGGAATTACATGGGCAATATCCTTTTTTGTAAAGATCTTGGGTTTGATGTGCAGGTGAAAATCGGTCTTCGTGTTCTTACCCGTCCATTAGCGAATGAGTTACCTACATTGTATAGAACACTTGGTGAAAATTATAATGAAAGGGTTCTGCCTTCAATTATTCATGAAACTCTGAAATCTGTAGTCGCTCAGTATAATGCCAGCCAACTTCTCACACAAAGAGAGGTAAAGTAAAAGATCTATTCTCTGCTAGTTCGGGTTCCAATATATATTTCCTTTGCTTTCTCCCATTGATTCAGTTTCTTTTCTGTTTATAGCCAATTCAATATGGTTCCTTACGCTCCTACTCGTTAGTCGTATGCTGATTGTCGTTCATTTTCAGGCTGTAAGTAGAGAAATCCGAAAGACTTTGACTGAGAGGGCAGCTCAGTTCAATATCGCTCTTGACGATGTGTCCATAACAAGTTTAACTTTTGGAAGGGAGTTCACAGCTGCAATTGAAGCCAAACAAGTGGCTGCCCAAGAAGCCGAAAGAGCTAAATTCGTTGTCGAGAAGGCCGAACAGGACAAGAGAAGTGCTATAATCAGAGCACAGGTGAGACGAATGGGATGACAAATGAACTACATACCCCAACTTTCTTGATGTTTTGCAAGATGCTATTCATTTTTTAATATGGATAGCCATCTTTCTTGACTGAGGTGAAAATTTATAGCTTTCTCTGATCTTGATCACCAGGGAGAAGCCACGAGTGGGCAGCTGATAGGCCAAGCTGTTGCCAATAACCCGGCGTTTATGACTCTGAGGAAGATCGAAGCAGCAAGAGAGATCGCTCATACGATTGCGAACTCATCCAACAAAGTTTTCCTCAATTCAGATGATCTGTTGCTGAATCTTCAAGAGATGAACTTGGAGCCTGCTGGGAAGAAGTAAATTCCCTCACCCATTCAAAACAAAACTCACAGGTCATTCATTCTCTCTCGTTTCTTTGATTAATTGTGAATGTTGAGTCATTTACGTGGAAGACTGAGTTAGTTTGTAAACAAAATGGAATGGTTTAGTATCATCTCTTCATGAACAACTTGAGCCTTGCTTAGATGGCTGCTGCCAAATCTGTTCCACTTGAAATAGTTTTTGTAATAA